TGCGAAACTCCGGATTTGTCATTGGCAGAGCACCTTGAGCGGTACTATAAGTGCTTAAGGGGGGACTTAAGGGGTCTGCTATGGATTTTGAAGGGGACCCCAAAACCTTTTTTTTTTTTGTTTATTTATTTATTTTGCATGGGGTTCCCCCCAAAAAAAAAATCCAAACAAAGCCCCCATCAAGGATAAGGATCTAGTATGGATTTTGGGGGAATCCCATTTCTTGTATTCCTCTTACCACTTTCCGGGAATCCTCCTCCCGTTTCCTCCCCTCAGCTGTTTATTAAACTCCTCCCCCTCCAGAGGATTCCCCCCCCCCCTTCCTGACCAGGCCATATTTTTGTGATACGGCGCTGCGTTACTTTAGCTGACAATTGCGCGGTCATGCAACGCTGCACCCAAATGAAATGTACATCCTTTTTTTTTTCCCATGAATTGAGCATTCTTTCGGCAGTCTTTGATCCCCTGTGTGTTTTTTTATGTTTTGCGCTATAAGCAAAAAAGGATCGTCAATTTTGAGAAAAAAAACACTATATTGTGGACTTTTTACTATTAAACACATCCAGTAAAAAAAATGTAAAAATCAAATTTCGGCATAAATTTCGGCCAAAATATATTCTGCTCCGTGTCTTTGCTAAAAAAAAAAATTCATTGGTTTCGTGTAAGTTATAGCGGTCTACAAATGGCGGGATAGATACTGGGATTTTTTTTCCCTATAGTAATAGGCAGCGTATCCCGATACGTGTAAATTCATTGGTTTACGTGAAAGTTATAGCGTCTACAAATGGCGGGATAGATACTGGGATTTTTTTTCCCTACTAGTAATGGCAGCGATCAGCGACTTTTAGCGGGTTTTTGTTGTCTAGGGACTTGGCGGTGGACATTCTGACACTGGGGGGGGACTGACTTGGTGTCACTGACATGCCCAGTGACACCAATACAGTGATCAGTGTCAATCAAAAGCGCTGACACTGTACTAATGACACTGGGCAGGAAGGGGTTAATATGAAAGGTGATCAAAGGGTTAACTGTGTGCTGGGAGTGGTTTTTTTAGGGGGTGGGGTCTGTGTGCTTCACTGTACTCACACTGCTGTGGATGGCTGTGCTGCTTAGTGTGCCCGAGCTGACAGGGAGGAAGAATGTAAACAAAATAATCTTCCTCCCCGTCAGTGATTGTCGATAATCATCGGGCGCCAGCGGGGAATTACCGGCCGGAGCCCGGTGATTGACATCCGCAGTATGTCTGCTATAGGGCGGTCCTTATATAGTATATAGAATATAATCTGCTGTAGGGCGGTCCTTATATAGTATATATCAGCTCTAGGGCGGTCCTTATATAGTATAGTATATATTTGCTATAGGGCGGTCCTTATATAGTATATATCGGCTCTAGGGCGGTCCTTGTATAGTATATAGTATATATCTGCTCTAGGGCGGTCCTTGTATAGTATATAGTATATATCAGCTCTAGGGCGGTCCTTGTATAGTATATATCGGCTCTAGGGTGGTCCTTGTATAGTATATAGTATATATCAGCTCTAGGGCGGTCCTTGTATAGTATATATCGGCTCTAGGGCGGTCCTTATATAGTATATAGTATATATCAGCTCTAGGGCGGTCCTTATATAGTATAGTATATAGTATATATCAGCTCTAGGGGCGGTCCTTATATAGTATAGTATATAGTATATATCAGCTCTAGGGCGGTCCTTATATAGTATAGTATATATCAGCTCTAGGGCGGTCCTTATATAGTATAGTATATATCAGCTCTAGGGCGGTCCTTATATAGTATAGTATATATAGTATATATCAGCTCTAGGGCGGTCCTTATATAGTATAGTAATATATATCCAGCTCTAGGGCGGGGTCCTTATTATAGTATAGTATATAGTACTATATCAGCTCTAGGGCGGTCCTTATATAGTATAGTATATAGTATATATATCAGCTCTAGGGCGGTCCTTATATAGTATATATCAGCTCTAGGGTGGTCCTTACATAGTATAGTATATAGTATATATCAGCTCTAGGGCGGTCCTTATATAGTATATAGTATATATCAGCTCTAGGGCGGTCCTTATATATAGTATAGTATATAGTATATATATAAGCTCTAGGGCGGTCCTTATATATATAGTATATAGTATATATCAGCTCTAGGGCGGTCCTTATATAGTATAGTATATATCAGCTCTAGGGGACGGTCCTTATATAGTATAGTATATAGTATATATCAGCTCTAGGGCGGTCCTTATATAGTATAGTATATATCAGCTCTAGGGCGGTCCTTATATAGTATAGTATATAGTATATATCAGCTCTAGGGCGGTCCTTATAAAGTATAGTAAAATAGTATATATCAGCTCTAGGGCGGTCCTTATATAGTATATATCAGCTCTAGGGTGGTCCTTACATAGTATAGTAATATAAGTATATATTGAGCAGCTCTAGGGCGGTCCTTATATAGTATATAGTATATTATAGTATATATCAGCTCTAGGGCGGTCCTTACATAGTATAGTATATAAGTATATATCAGCTCTAGGGCGGTAAAAATATAGTATATAGTATATTATCAGCTCTAGGGCGGTCCTTATATAGTATTATAGTATATATCAGCTCTATAAAATTACATAGTATAGTATATAGTATATATCAGCTCTAGGGCGGTCTTACATAGTATAGTATATAGTATATATCAGCTCTAGGGCGGTCCTTATATAGTAAAATATAGTATATATCAGCTCTAGGGCGGTCCTTATGTATATATAATATATCAGCTCTAGGGTGGTCCTTACATAGTATAGTATATAGTATAAATCAGCTCTATTGGTCCTTACATATCACTAATAGTATATAGTATATATCAGCTCTAGGGCGGTCCTTATATAGTATATAGTATATATCAGCTCTAGGGCGGTTCCTTACATAGTATTAGTATATATCATTAGCTCTAAAAAAAAATAGTTATATAGTATAGTATATAGTATATATCAGCTCTAGGGCGGTCCTTACATAGTATAGTATATAGTATTATATTCAGCTCTAAAAAAAATTATAGTATAAAAAGTATATATCAGCTCTAGGGTGGTCCTTGAGCAGTTAATACAGACCTGTTTTTTTTCCCGCCGTTTTTCCTACAGCAAAGTCTTGATCTGGGATGGAGATCGCTGTTTCGGGGCTCGGAAATGAAAAGCACAAATCAAACATAAACGAAAAAATAAAAAAAAAATCAAAACAGTAAAGAATGATCTGCCGCGGCTCCCCTTAATAAAAAATTAAGATGATGGAAGACGGAGCCGAGCGGATAAATGTGGAAATGATAAAAAAAAAACATTTATGAAGTTAAAACAGACAAAAGCCGAACGCCGCCGATCCCAAACATCGGCCTCATAGATGCGAAAATTAAAAAAACATAAAAAAATATTCCAATCCTTTTATGCCGCCGTCTGTCAGCCATGCGTGAGCAAGATATATCCTCCGCGTCCGCGGGCGGCGGTTTTTAAATTAAAAAAAAAAAAAAGTGGATTGGTCACCAATCTCCTGAAAAAAATCTTCTTGCTCCGTGTACAAATAATGGCCGTCTCATGTCAGTGCTTACTTTTATACTCCCAAATTCAGCGAGATGGATCTTCATCATAGAGCACTGAAAAAAAATTTTTTTACAGGTTTATCGGCTCCCTCCCCTTCAGTCCTGCACAGGTGTACCAAAAAAAAAAAATATTTCAGTCTTGCACAGGTGTAAAAAACGGCTCCTCCCCTTCAGTCCTGCACAGGTGTTTAATAAAAAGACTCCTCCCCTTCAGTCTCTATAAAACAGGTTACCAAACTCCTCCCCTTCAGTCTCGCACAGGTGTACCGGCTCCTCCCCTTCAGTCCTGCACATAGGTGTACCGACTCCTCCCCTTCAGTCTCGCACAGGTGTACCAACTCCTCCCCTTCAGTCTTGCACAAAAAAAAACCGGCTCCTCCCCTTCAAAATATGCACAGGTGTACCGAATATCCTCCCCTTCAGTCTTGCACAGGTGTATACTACCCTCCTCCTCTTCAGTCTTGCACAGGTGTACCGGCTCCAAATCCCCCCTTAAGTCCTGTACAGGTGTACCGGCTCCTCCCCTTCAGTCCTGCACAGGAAATACCGACTCCTCCCCTTCAGTCCTGCACAGGTGTATTAAACAACAAAAAAAAAACCCTTCCAAGTTCTTACACAGGTGTATCGGCTCCTCCCCTTCATTCTTGCACAGGTGTACCGGCTCCTCCCCTTCAGTCTTGCACAGGTGTACCGGCTCCTCCCCTTCAGTCTTGGCACAGGTCTTATTACCGGCTCCTCCCATTCAGTCTTGCACAGGTGTATCGGCTCCTCCCCATCAGTCTTGCACAGGTGTTCCAGCTCCTCCTATTCAGTCTTGCACAGGTGTTAATATAGCTCCTCCCCTCAGTCTTCCACAGGTGTACCGGCCTCCTCCCCTTCAGTCAACACAGGTGTACCGGCTCCTCCCCCCCTCAGTCTTGCACAGGTGTACACTCCTCCCCTTCAGTCTTGCACAGGTGTACTGGCTCCTCCCCTTCAGTCTTGCACAGGTGTATTGGCTCCTCCCCTTCAGTCTTGCACAGGTGTACCAAAAAAAGAGGGGGGAAAACCCTTCAGTCTTGCACAGGTGTTCTGGCTCCTCCCCTTCAGTCTTGAACAGGTTTAACCGCTCCTCCCCTTCAGTCTTGGACAGGTGTACCGGCTCCTCCCCTTCAGTCTTGCACAGGTGTTCTGGCTCCTAACCCTTCAGTCTTGAACAGGTTTACCCTAAAAAATAATAAACAACCTCCCTTTCAAAAAAAATCACATCACCACAGGTGTACCAGCTCCTCCCCCTTCAGTCTGGCACAGGTGTTCCTGCTCCTCCCCTTCAGTCTTGCACAATTTTACCAGCTCCTCCCCTTCAGTCTGGCACAGGTGTTCCTGCCTCCTCCCCTTCAGTCTTACACAGTTGTACTGGCTCCTCCCCTTCAGTCTTGCACAGGTGTACCAGCTCCTCCCCTTCAGTCTTGCACAGGTGTACCAACTCCTCCCCTTCAGTCTTGCACAGGTGTACCGGCTCCGCCCCTTCAGTCTTGCACAGGTGTACTGGCTCCCCGCCCCTCCAGTTTTGCACAGGTGTAATTGGCTCCGCCCCTCCAGTTTTGCACAGGTTGTACTGGCTCCGCCCCTCCAGTTTTGCACAGGTGTACTGGCTCCCCCCCTTCAGTCTTGCACAGGTGTACTGGCTCTGCCCCTCCAGTTTTGCACAGGTGTACACGCTCCTTTTCTGGACAGCAAATGTCTTCCTATGATGTCACTGCACACTGGGAGCTTCTCCACCGCGCTCACATTCCGCCTCGCTCATATTCCGCTGTGCTCACATTCCACCACTCCCACTCCCCCCCCCACCCCCCCCCCCCCCCCCCCCCCCCACCCCCCCCAACCCCCCCCCCACATTCCCCCCGCCCACCCCCCCCCCCGCTCCCTCCCCCCCCGCCCACATTTCCCCCCCCCCCCCCCCCCCCACCCCCCCCCCCCTCCCATCCGCCCCCCCCACCCCCGCCCCCCACCCCCCCGCCCCTCCCCCCCCCCCCCCCCCCTCCCATTCCCCCCCCTCCATTCCCACCCCCACCCCCACAATCCCCCCCCCACATTCTGCCCCACCCCCCCCCCCCTGCCCCCCCCCCCCCCCCCCCCGGACCCCCCCCCCTCCCCCCCCCCCCCCCCATAGAAAGCCCCCCCCCCCCCCCCCCCCCCCCAGCCCCCCCCCCCCCCCCCCCCCCCCATTTTCCCCCCCCCAGTCCCCCCCCCCCCCCCCCACCCCCCCCCCCCCCCCCCCCCCCCCCCCCCCCCCCCCCCCCCCCCCCCCCCCCCCCCCCCCCCCCCCCCCCCCCCCCCCCCCCCCCCCCCCCCCCCCCCCCCCCCCCCCCCCCCCCCCCCCCCCCCCCCCCCCCCCCCCCCCCCCCCCCCCCCCCCCCCCCCCCCCCCCCCCCCCCCCCCCCCCCCCCCCCCCCCCCCCCCCCCCCCCCCCCCCCCCCCCCCCCCCCCCCCCCCCCCCCCCCCCCCCCCCCCCCCCCCCCCCCCCCCCCCCCCCCCCCCCCCCCCCCCCCCCCCCCCCCCCCCCCCCCCCCCCCCCCCCCCCCCCCCCCCCCCCCCCCCCCCCCCCCCCCCCCCCCCCCCCCCCCCCCCCCCCCCCCCCCCCCCCCCCCCCCCCCCCCCCCCCCCCCCCCCCCCCCCCCCCCCCCCCCCCCCCCCCCCCCCCCCCCCCCCCCCCCCCCCCCCCCCCCCCCCCCCCCCCCCCCCCCCCCCCCCCCCCCCCCCCCCCCCCCCCCCCCCCCCCCCCCCCCCCCCCCCCCCCCCCCCCCCCCCCCCCCCCCCCCCCCCCCCCCCCCCCCCCCCCCCCCCCCCCCCCCCCCCCCCCCCCCCCCCCCCCCCCCCCCCCCCCCCCCCCCCCCCCCCCCCCCCCCCCCCCCCCCCCCCCCCCCCCCCCCCCCCCCCCCCCCCCCCCCCCCCCCCCCCCCCCCCCCCCCCCCCCCCCCCCCCCCCCCCCCCCCCCCCCCCCCCCCCCCCCCCCCCCCCCCCCCCCCCCCCCCCCCCCCCCCCCCCCCCCCCCCCCCCCCCCCCCACCCCCCCCCCCCCCCCCCCCCCCACCCCCCCCCCCCCCCCCCACCCCCCCCCCCCCCCCCCCCCCACCCCATCCCCCACCCCCCCCCCCCCCCCCCCCCCCCCCCCCCCCCCCCTCATGGTACCGCCCACATTAGGACATCTTACAATAAACCTGAGCCCAGGTGCACTGAATGCTGACATATCCTGAACAAGCATGAGAGTGAGAGGGGCTTGCATGAGAGTGCATGTCACACAGAGTGCAGGGGTAAGGGGTAAGTAATGCAAAGAGTGCAGGGGTCAGGAGTAAGCATCACACAGAGTGCAGAGGTCAGGAGTAAGCATCACACAGAGTGCAGGGGTCAGGAGTAAGCATCACACAGAGTGCAGGGGTCAGGAGTAAGCATCACACAGAGTGCAGGGGTCAGGAGTAAGCAACACACAGAGTGCAGGGGTCAGGAGTAAGCATCACACAGAGTGCAGGGGTCAGGAGTAAGCATCACACAGAGTGCAGGGGTCAGGAGTAAGCATCAAACAGAGTGCAGGGGTCAGGAGTAAGCAACACACAGAGTGCAGGGGTCAGGAGTAAGCAACACACAGAGTGCAGGGGTCAGGAGTAAGCATCACACAGAGTGCAGGGGTCAGGAGTAAGCAACACACAGAGTGCAGGGGTCAGGAGTAAGCAACACACAGAGTGCAAAGGTCGGGAATAAGGAATATACAGTTTGCTGGGGTAAGTAATGCAAAGAGATCATGGGACAGGAGTAAGCAACACACAGAGTGCAGGGATCAGGAGTAAGCTATGCAACTATGTATGTAACGATGTAACTATGTATGTAACTATGTAACAATGTAACTATATAACTATATAACTATGTAACGATGTATGTAATGATGTAACGATGTATGTAATGATGTAACGATATAACTATATAACTATGTAATGATGTAACGATGTAAGTGTGGATCTAGAAGGGTATCTAATGTCTTGTCAATTCCAGCGAGGGGCTATGCAGTTAGGACACCATTTTCCTCGGTCTCTGTGGTCTTTGTGCGTTCTCCTCCCTCCGTTTCGGAGACGTGCTGCTTCTCCCTGCATGAGGAGGAAGGCGAGTTTGGGACGCACAATTCGAGAACCGCCAAGGCTAAAGATTAATTGAAGAAGCGAGGTTGTTGTACTCCACACGGAATGTCTGATTATCTGTCCTCTCATTCTCCATGAAGATGATTTAGTTCTCCTCGCTGGCAGAGCAGATACCGCCACACTTTTATTTTTTTTTTATTTTTGTACATTTTTTTGGCTGTGTGTGCCAGGCAGCCGGGAGGCACGTAGTGTGAAATGTTCCAGCGTGGCGCGGCTGGCGGGCCGAAGGCTCATCACAGGCAATGTTTGCACAAGTGCTAACGTGACTGAGGATGACCAGGAGTCTGCAGGACGGGGAATGAACACATACAATATGAACATGCAAAAACACAGACATAAATCCATGGGGGGGGGGATGGGCCAGCAGGGAAGAGGGGGGGGAATGGGCTAGCAGAGAAGGGGGGGGCATGGGCCAGCAGGATAGGGAGGGCATGGGCCAGCAGGGAAGGGGGGGCATGTGACAGCAGGGAAGGGGGGGGAATGGGCTAGCAGGGAAGGGGGGAATGGGCTAGCAGGGTAGGGGAGGGCATGGGCCAGCAGGGAAGGGGGGGCATGTGACAGCAGGAAAGGGGGGGGGCATGGGCCAGCAGGGAAGGGGGGGGAATGGGCTAGCAGAGAAGGGGGGCATGGGCCAGCAGAGTAGGGGAGGGCATGGGCCAGCAGGGGGGGGGGGCAATCTCAAAAACATTATTACAGTTGTAAAGGCTTTGGGATTTTTACTTTAATACATTCTCTCCTAGTGGATTGCTGTAGGAAAGTCCTGGATTGTTTTTTGGACACACAGAATATAACTGGATATAACATTTATATTAAATATTATATTAAAAAAAAAAAGAAGAAGCCAATCAGAGGCTATCACAGTTTAACCCAATTAAAAAAAAAAAAGATAGACAGGGAGCTGGTGAAGGTATCTTTTTTTTTTGGGGGGGGGGGGGGCGGAGCTCATCTTAAAATTTTCTCGCCAGCCCTCCCGAAGCCCTCCAGGCCGATTAAGAAGGTAACGTTTGCTGCAGTCCACATACAACGAACACAACTATCCGTGAGAGGAGTTCATTATGAATATTCCGGTATTTTTACCTTCATTCCCGTCTGATTTGGTTGGAGTGAAATCCTCGATAAATTAAGCTCTGCTTATAACTATTCAAGTCTGACATTTGCATTATATTAATTCCACCAGCCGGAATCCTCCGAAGACACTCGGCAACCACAAGTGGCTATGCAAATAGAGTCATTATTACCACTGAAATTTCTCAACACTTTCAAACTTTGTTTTTATAATAATTTAATGACAAAAAATGAGTGGGAAAATGCGGAAGCCTGGAGCGGTTACTGAGCAGCCGGAGAAATGTGTCTTCATCATTATTCCATGAGAAGATGGAGCGAAATGTGGAACCTGCCAATGGATGTGTCTTCATCTTGCTCACCTATTGCACGTTGCCACCAAGCGATCGCCTCAGCCAAGAGAATGCCAAGATTTTTTAAAGATTATTTTTAGACACCCCTCCCCCGCATAAAAAAAAAAAATATTGCGATTCTCTACTTACACTCTCCATATCCCGAGTCCTTAACAAGTAACATCATTAGCCCCATTCATTCATATGACCAGGAATGCCTGGCCATGTAGCCAAAGTCTGCTATTTTAAAGGGGTACCCAATGGAAAAAAAATCTGGGAGGTCCCCCAGGAAATCCATACCAGACCCCCATAATCCAAACTGGCCTGGAATGAGAGGCAGGATGAGCATGCGACCTCCCTCCTGAACCATATCAGGACACACACACCCCCCAACATGGGGAGGGAGCACCTTGCCAGGAGGAATCTCCCTGGCAAATACCTTATTGCCATGTTTATGAGGACATGGGCCTCTTCCCCACATCTGGGACGGATGTGGGGAACAATGGCGGTGGGGGTCCACAGGTGGGGAGGGGTTCAGAATCTGGAGTACTCTTTTTCCTTCACAAAAACCAGACCAGACCCATAATCCAAACTGGCCTGGAATGAGAGGCAGGATGAGCATGCGACCTCCATCCTGAACCATATCAGGACACATGCCCCCAACATGGGGAGGGAGCACCTTGCCAGGAGGAATCTCCCTGGCAAATACCTTATTGCCATGTTTATGAGGACATGGGCCTCTTCCCCACATTTGGGGCGGATGTGGGGGACAATGGCGGTGGGGGTCCACATGTGGCGAGGGGTTCAGAATCTGGAGTACTCTTTTTCCTTCACAAAAACCAGACCAGACCCATAATCCAAACTGGCCAGGAAAGGGAGGCAGGATGAGCATGTGGCCTCACACCTGAACCATACCTGGACAAACTCCTTCAACATGGGGGGGAGCATCTTGCCAGGAGGAAGCTCCCTGGCAGACACCTTGTTGCCATTTTTATGGGGGCATGGGCCTCTTCCCCACATTTCTGACTAGTGGCTGTTGGAGTCTACAGGTGGAGATGGGTTTTTTCAGAATCTGGAGTACCGCTTTTCATTCACCAAAAAAGTCATTTAATAAAAAAAAAAATAACATCCTGAAGTCAGGAGGTTCTTTACTGAGGTCTAGAGGACTGAGCGAGTCTAGAGGATGTCTGAGAGTCTAGAGGACTGAGAGAGTCAAGACTACTGAGCAAATCTAGAGAACTGAGAGAATGAGGATGACCTA